ACATGTGGCTCGTTGCACTGACTTCAGTAAGATTAAAGAATAATCTGCATCGCTTAAACTTCATAAATCTCCACTGCCAAAAAAAAGAAGAGTTAAGCAGCACTAAGCTCGTCAGTGCTTTTGGAGGGTTTCCATAATTAGCATAAAGGTTGTTTGTGAAATCAAACACTTGTTTCTCGCTGATGGCGACAATCGAGTAAATAAAGCAGGAATCAGAAAGCAGATGTCAACCAATTAACTGAGCAATGAGCATCCACTGACTCTTAGATTAAAATCTCACAAGAGAAACCTATTTCTATACATAATTAGTGCACATTTTTTACTTAAATGGAAGCATTATTATGTCAGAGATGATTGAGGTTAGGTATGGGTTTAGCGCATTAAAAGGTCAGGGATGGGATCCAAGAGGCCACGAGCCAATGAGATTAGCGATTAAAGATTTTGATTACTTCTACACGCTGGCAGGTTGCCTGACAGTCGGTAATCAGGGCTGATTTTTCACATAAATTCTGCATCTCTCACAGGCAATCAGGAAGAAAACCACACGACACCACGGAGGGGAGGCACCATTCCATGCAACAGGTCATTCTTTTCCATATGCTGCGTTCACTGACAGCATATTCCCCACAAAAATAAAAACAAAAAACGATGCAGCAGTTTGTTCCCACTCAGGGAGACGAGAGGTGGGAGTGTTTGAACGCCGGTTGTTTAAAAGCAGCCTGGTTCATGTGCATCGAGACGGACTTCCCTCCCTGATGTGTTGAGCTAAATACAAAAAGGCCTTTTTAAATCAAACATTATGAATCAGAGTCAAGGCAGCTTTGAAATGTTATGATGCAGAACTGAGCAGCTACACTTAAAGGAGTAGTTCAACATTTTGGGAAATGCACTTAGTCACTACTTTAACATTTGTCTGTGCTGGTTGCAACTTTCCAATGATGAGGAAACTTAAGAAAAAAAAGAAGAAGAAGAAAAAAAGAAGAACTTGCCATGACGCTCATTTTTACAATTTGAACAGACCAAACAAAAACAGGAAATAATGCGGTAATTAGTGAGCTTTAAATGTGCTGACGGGTTGATTTTGTCACCTTTGGAGTCAAACCAGCTGTTGAAGTGAAACTAACCATCTACTCAGACAGACACAACAGCAGCAGTGCATTTTCCAAATCGTCACACTACTCCTCCTCCACGTTGCTCCCTTTGAACCGTCGCACCACTTTGAAAAGAAATTTAAATCGTCTTAGATATTGTGACTGCACACCTCGGCCTTGTCTGGGTTTCAAACCGGCGTCTGCACCAAACTGTGGTGGAGCTGCCACGTTCATAAAGAGCAGGCAGAATACGAGAACTCAAACAAACACATGAAATGGTGTGGCTGTATACCAACCTTAGACACGGTTAGAAAACCAGACACATACGGGATAAAACAGACAAAGTTCCAGCAGACTTTTTGTCACTAACTGGCCGTTTGGTGCCAGATTTCGCTCGGAGAACACTGCTGGCCTCTGTCGGCGCATGAATCTTCAGCCCTGACAGCATTACAGCATCATCAGGGCTGCGACTAATAGAGAGACACATGTTCGCCAGGCTGTTTGGCCGCCAGCCAAACTGACAGTTGCTCAACTGATGACGGGGCTGAGAATCCCTCCACGTTCAGCGCTGTCGATTCAAGAAGCGACGCAGCACACAGATACGGCAATTTGGAATTTTATTTTTTAGCATTTCTGATTTTAGTTGTAAAGATTATTCGCTTCTTGAATAAACAGCTTTTAACACGAGTGGAGACAATTCAAACAAAGAGCTTGCAAACCAAATCAGGGAATCGGTGTCACGATGACACCAAATCATTCGATCTCTCCGTGTCTGAAGACGGTTTATTAGACCAACAGACAGCACAGAGATCAGAGACGACCAGAAGATCGCTGGTGAAGAAGAGCGGCAGGACATGTTGGGTTTTTATCCCCCCCAATCAGGCACAACAACTGGCCTCTATTGATGGAGTCTGTTTGCCATCAATAGAGTCAAATCATAAGTCGGACAGCATCCAGATGAGCTCTCGATGTCAGTTGGAGAGAAGATGGATTACCCTTTCAGTAAAGAATGTCCTTTGCAGCTTGTAAAATATATGAAAGTGCTATAAAAGAAAACTCGTGAGTTCCGTACATGCACAGTCACAGAGTGAGAATGGAGTCACAGGGCGGAGGTGGGAAGGTGGGAAGGTGGGAAGGTGACAGCGCGGGCGGGTTATTCACATTATCAGGGACGTGTTGACAGATTCATCACAGGGGGGAGATTAGAGGGGAGCAGGGTTACTCGAGACAAGTCAGACAGACACGAGACACGTACTGCACAGTTCAGTTTAACACAAACCGACAAAACAACACTAGACTGATTTACTACAAGTTTCAAGCACTGGATTAGTGGAAAAGTTAAATTACTTAACAAACCATTAAATGTGTATTTATGGAAAACGGATTTTTGGTGAAATAAACTTATTTGGTTTCTTACACTTTAGTCTCGTAGTCCTTCCAGGCTTTGTCGAACGGCTTTTTCAAATCCTGCAAGAAAAACAAACAGAGAAGAAATTACAAGCCGTAGTCAGGAAGACGTTGATCAGTCGAGTTAATCAACAGAAAATGACTCGACAAGATAATCCGATGTGGGAGAAAGCTTCAGGTCAGCCTGGGAATGACGATTTGTTTTATCAGCTGCCGTTTCGAACAAGATTAAACTTTAAAATTTCGACTTGTAAACGGATGAGAAGCCTTTCTGCAGAGGAAGAACGTGCGATTTCATTTAAAGTCCCACAACAGCTACTAAATGGGATTTTTAAAATGCTTTTAAAAGTCTGGAATGAACCCTCCATGTCAACAACTTAGGTTTTAGTAAGTTATTTATGAAGCAAATCGGTGTTATATCTACACAAATGTCGCGATTTGCTGTTTTTTCTGGGTTTTATGCCACTGTAGAGTAGATATTGTTGGGTTTTGGGAACTTGTGAGAGGACTTTAGACTGAAATATTCTTGCACTTTTAGTTCCCAAAAGTTAGATGTAGGGCTGCAACGAACAACTTTGATTATTTCCTCAATTAACTAGTTGTAAAACGTCTAAAAGTGTAATCAGTGTTTCCTAAAGCCAAATATGACATCCATGAATGTCCATTTTCATCCACAACCCAAAGAAAACCAGCTTATCCTTATAGGCGAGTAAAAAACTTAGATGAAAGTTACACAATTTGGACTTTTTTTGGCATTAAAAATGAACCTAACAGACTAATTATCAAAACTACCAGCCGAGCAGCTGACAAATTGCTGCAGTTTTTGTTAGATGAGGGCATCCCACCATTTCTACAGTAAGTACGAAGGCTCAGGCAGCATCCAATGAGCTGAAGTCAGCACAAAAACTGGAAGCAGGAGGAAACAGCTGCGCAAAAGTCATAAAATCCACACAGCATCACCTCTGAAGCTCGTTAATTAGCACAGTATGCCTGCTACGTTTAAGGAAAACTTCATTTGGTGGATTTATGGGAACCTAGAGCACCTAATGGTTAGATTTCTTTTTTTCAATCAAATCTTGAAAGTTTCCCAAAACGCTGAACCATGCCTATAAGTGAAAGAGCCGTATAAATGAAAATATCTATTAAAGTCAGCCCTACTGCACACAATCCCTGCAGCCAAGGCCACCAAGTAGAAAGCAGTGGCTAGACACTGAAAACACTCAGCTGAAGGCAAGAAACTATGTCAAAGGCTGCACAATGCAAACACACACCCATCCATCCAGCAACCAGGAAACAGGCCGAGGTCACCGTCGTGTCAGCGCTCGCCGCTCACTAACCATCAAGCGCTCAGAGAAATGCTTTCTTTCTCACTCCCAAACGGACAAAGGTTGCATGTTTCACCACAATGTGAACCAGTGAGCTCAATCATCCTCCTCACAGAAGCCGAGCGGCCCACAGCTGTCGCAGCAGGGAGCCGAGGCTACGCTGGAGTTTTCTTTTTTTTTTGTTTAGAAGAGCGGGAGCACGCTGCGATTGTTGCCGCAATTCCTCTGGTCACGCCGACGACAGGCAACGCTGATTTCTCATTGTCACGGGTGTCGCTTTCAGCAGCTGCTTGAGCGAAAAACGCCTGATTAGACGACATCCTTGCTGCCGCAGAGCTGATTAAACAGCGATTAGGACAAACAAAAGCAGACATTACCGGGTGCAATTGGCCGTGTCATTCTGCAAAAAAAAGCACGATTCAACTAAATAAATTGTTGCCTGCAAACAGAGCGGATGCCAGGAAAATCTGCACGCGACAACGAGTAATGAGAGGAATTATGCAGCTTTTAATGCTTGTAATTGCTGTAATTATATATATATAAAGAAAAACTACACTGTGCACCTGCAGATTTTTTAGCCCGAAAGAAACTTAAACCGTGTTTTGGTTCTAAAAAGCTTCCGCAGTTGGAGTAATTTTTCTGTTTGGTTAGAAAACAGCTGATGACTCATGCTCCATTGTTGGAGCTCCAGAGAGGACTGATCCCTCTGTTGACCTCCACTTGAACAGGAGAGGAGTGGCGGGTTCAACCTGTCAGCCGACGGGATCACGGCGAGGTTCACCGGGCCATGTCAAGGAGCACTCAGCCATTCACTCGACCAGCTCGAGGGCAGAAACCACCAGGGTAAAGAGAGTATAACAGGCTCTAAAATACAGGAAAAAAAAAGTCAAAGACAGCAACGAAAGCTGCCAAAAAGAAGGAAGCTGCTACAAGAATGAAGAGAGAGCCAGTGAGAGGGAAAAAAAATAAAAAGGGTGAGCGGAAGGAAATGTCAGCGCCAGAGAGAGGAGAAAAATGGTAACAATGGCTAAAAATACCAGACGCAGGCATCGCTGGGCAGGGAAGGGCAGAGCAGAGTAGGCCGAGGCACGGGGCAAAGCACTCCCTCAGAGAGCAGCCGGTTCTGAGCGGCCCGGTTCCCTGTCTGGCTGAATCTGAAGGACGCAGGAGGAGGAGGAGGAGGAGGAAGGTCATGCCCTTGTCAACGGCCTCCATTCGCAAACCTCTCACCTCCTATGACTACCTATGATCGTCCAGGAATAGCAGTCACACATTGCTCACACCTTTGTTCCTCACCGCTGTACTGAACGTGCAACCTAGTCAGACGTGGAAAGGGAGAGTTTGGTTCTGAAGTACTGCTGCACCTCAATCGGACCAAAACAATGTGAAAAGGGGCCTGTATGTATGAGTCAGTGTGTCGGCTGGTCATCCTCTCCATCAGGGTTGGAGTACGGGTCAGACAATGGTGACCGGGTGTCGTTATCAGGACTGGATACAATTTTGATGTCATTTAACAGAAAAAAACTGAAGGTGAAGCTAAAACCGGCTGTAATTTTTAGGTGTATCAGTGACGTAGAGGCAGGACAGTCAGCTAGATATCTAAAATCTGGATAAACTCAAATAAAAATATCTGCCTGATCAGATACGAGCAGCACTAAATGAGGAAAAGAAGCAAACGTTAATCTTCCACGACTTCCTGCTTCAGCAACTTTTTCCTGCTTATGTTTTACTTCATAGCAAAGTGTACAAACGAATGAGGAGGAAAAAGCGGTGACCAGCACACAGGGATCTGCTTTTATCTGAAATCTCACACAGCTAACATGCGTGGGCGGCTTCAGTTGTTCACGAGCCGCTGAACCACAATGAGGCGGGGCACAGCTGGACTCTCAATCTAAATGCATTAGTCTACATCCCCCCCCTCTGCTCCTCAGAGCCAAACAAACAGTAGATTCTACGCCGACCGTCCAGACGCTGCGACTGAACAGCGATGAGCCGATACGATAGACGAGTGGAAACACAGACTGGTCAATGAGCAGAGGATAATGCAGGCATGACATCACGGCGGCCTCCGCTCTGAAAGTCCGCCGTTAGCACAACGCTCCGGTGGACTCAGCACTTTCCGATTTCCCCCGAGTGGGAGCGAGTTTATCTTTAGCAAAAATACTACTGGGGCTTCCATTGACCCCGTCGCTTGCATGTTTGCGAGTACTGCAGCGACTGAGGTGAAGAGTACAAGACAAGAAGTTACCAAAAAAACAGATTTCTACAATGTAATGTCATTTGTTTAAGATTATAGAATGTAAGTAAGTGATTGCACAAGTGTTCATCCCATTTAAGTCCATCTTTAGTAGAGGTCGCTAGGCCTTAATCAGAATTGGACATCTAGACGCTGCAACTTTACTCCATTCTTCTTTATAAAACTGCTTCAGCTCTGTCTGGTTGGATGGGGATAGATGACTCCGATCCTCCCGAACATTTACCTCGTTGTCTATAAACCATTTCTTGGTAGCTTTAGCTGTGTGCTTCAGGTATTGCTGGAGAACAAATGTTCTCTTAAGTCGCAGTTCTCTTGGTTGTCCTCCAGGACTTCTCTACACTTTGCTGCATTCATTTTGCACTCTACCTTTACAAGCCTTCCAGGACCTGCTGCTGAGAAGCATCATGATGCTGCCATCGCTGTGCTTCGAGGTGGGAATGGTGTGTTTGTTTGCAGTGTCTGGTGTCCATAGCAACCAGTCTGATGGACAAAAAAAGCTTAATTTTGTTGTAATCAGACCAAAGAATCCTTTTCCAGTTCAGTGTCTCTCACATGCCTTCTGGCAAATTTTTGTCAAGATTTAATGAGCTTTTTTTTTTAAACTGAGGCTTTCTCTTTTCCACTTTGCCACAAAGCTGTGACCAGGAGGCAACAGTTCAGAGGAGTCTCGGTGGCACTTGGTGGTTTTGTACAGTCGGACGGTCTGCTCAAGGCAGATGAGGCAGATGTTCCTGCAGTTCTTTTAATGGTGGATTGAACTGTACTCCAAGGGATATACAGTGACTTGCAAATATGTGTGTATCCATCCCCTGATTTATGCTTTTCAATAAACTTTTCAAGGAGTTGCTTGAGGTGTTCTTTACTCGTCATGGCGTAGTTATAGTCAGGAGTACTGATCCACCAGTGACTGGACCTTCCAGATAGAACAATCACCAAAACACATTCACTGCATTTAGATTACATCCATTTCACTAGCTCTGTGACTTCTAGCCTACATTTCCTGCACTTGTGTTGAATTTAAAGGGGCTTAATCCTCAGCAAATCAATTATTTTACATTTTTATTTTAAATAATTTGCATTTCTCTATAGAAATCTGTTAAGAGTCAGTAAATTCCTGTCAAGAAAAGAAATATATTGACCATGGTTCAACATTGATAATAAAAAAGGGGAATACCTCCAAGGAGTGTGAACACTTTTTATAGCCACTGTACGTCCAGAGTCGAGACTATTTCAGTTTCAGCAATTTATAGCGATTTCCAAATCGCCCTGGCGGCTCTTATGTGTCGTTCACCTCATCAAACAGAAAGTAAAAAGTGAGAATTGACAGCAACCGAAAAAAGAATGACTCACATTTACATATAAACTCCCCGATCGTCCCCTGGGGTGAGACGGCCACGGAGGTAGATGAGGTGGAAAATGGTGGGTTTTTAGCTGAGTAACGGCGGTGACAGGTTGCCAGGTAGTGGCCCTCTAATCACAGAGCCATTAGCGGCTGCCTCCCTCGGGGTCAGTTCACCGCACTCATCGCCGCCGGCAGAATATTAACAACCTCCGATGGAACAATGGCCGCCAGAAAGCCATTAAGTCCTGAATTAAATCAAATGTAAGGACCGGCAACTAATAAAGCCGCCAAAAAGAGGTGTAAATGAGGAGCGTTTCACCACACCACACTGTACTTTTTAGCACCGCTGAATGAAAATTAGGAATTATATTTTTAGGGTTATGATGCACATGTTGTTTCTTCACGGTGGTGTTCTTGTTTTCCTGTCAGTATTACATTACATCTGTTCTCTGTAGTGTGATTACATGACTCTGTGTTTGACTGTTGCAGAGGTTGTGCGTCTTTGCTGACTCCTACAGACATAAATAACATTTTCTATATTAAATTCAAACATTTTAGAAGCTTTTCAAGTCAGATTTATGAACTTAAAATTGAAAATATGCATTTAAAACACCAGCTAGGTTGTACAGTTGTCCTCAAATGTATTCATATCCTCCCAGACAAATAAAAAAAACAAGCAAAGAAGCATGATGGGACCCATAAAGTAATATTCTGTTGAACAACCCTTTAATCACTGCCATCAGGTGTTTTCTGTGACTCTCAGTCAGACTTCTGCACCTGTTGACAGGTGTTCTGGACCACTGCTCATCAGCAAAGGGCTCTAATTTGACAGTTTTGTTTGTTTTTTTAAATTATTCTTTTCAGCCACAATTCAAAGCAACATCTTATTTCACTAAATTATAATTTTGCAAATTTTTATTTATTATTACTTTGTTCAGTTTCTAGTTATTTGAGTGACTGTTGTGGATTTTACCTTTTCTTTAACGGAAGGGTATCGATAAATCTGAGGTAATTATTTGTAAAATTGTACATTTGTGTTTAACAAAAATACTATAAATTACTCAAATGACTGAAATCGTCACACATATCTGTAAATCCTGTTGTTACATGAGGATCATGGTCATCTCACCAGCATAATTTCTCTCCACAGACTTCTTTGATCTTTTAAATGCATTACTCTTTTATTAACCCATTACTTTGCAGCACTTTCCTCCCTCCTCTCCCCGTTGTACAGGTCTGGACTCCTTCCCTCTCCTAACAGGTACCTCCCCTGGGACAGCAGGATAATGACAGAGGAGGAGGAGGAGGATGAAGGAGAAGGAGGGACGAGGGCAGAGGTGAGCGACAGGTTGGAGGAAGGTGTAGCCGAGACGAAACCCTTCACTTATTGATGCCTCCGCCTCCAATTTACTTTACTTTTCCTGACACTGACGGCTCAATTCCTCGGTTTGGTGACATTACATCGACGTTTATACGTGTGTGTGTCCCGAGGTATAAAATAGCCGGCAGCTCATTAGCTCCCCGTCAACGGGGTAATGAGAATCATCCGAAGGCTAATGAGCAATAAGTGGGGAAGCATTACAGATGTGACCGGAGAGCGAGGGGGTGTAGAGAGTGGGGGAGTCAAAGGGGGAGGTGGGGGAGATAGCAGCGGAGTTAAAGCAGAGACATGAGGACAAAGAAAGGAAACGACAGGAGAGAGAAGAGCGGGCTGAAAAGAAAACACCGCCACTTGAGAGAGGCCACAAAAGAGCAACGGCGGCGGTCAGAGGTCGAGGCGGAGCCGAGCGGGCCGGGGTCACGAGGGACAAGTGGTGTCTCCGTGGCAACCGCGCTCATTAGAGAGCTCGCTTAATCGCATCATACCTCGGTGGAACCCGAAGCCAATCATGTGGCCGGAGAGTGAAAGGTCACAGACCACCGTGGACAGTAACGAGTCCTGATTGCATTACAGAACCCAGAGTCTGCGTCTCGTCTGGTTAGTCGGCACTACGGGTTGGCTACACGTTGCATCATCGGCAGGGATGCGTACTGAATCTCAATATGTTTTTGGAAGAGATCAAAATGCGACTGGAGCACCAAGTATGCAAAATGATAAACAACAGAAAGCTGGCATGAAATGTCAGGTCAATTTGTTCCTGTTCTATGATCTCCTCGTTTTTTCCAAACTGTTAACTGACTAAATGATGTGAAAGACTTTCAAAAATACTGACGAAATGCCAATTTCAGGACGTGTTTAGGCAAAATTATTATACGCCTGCTTGTGTTTTGACAACATTTCAACCCTGTAATCTCCTTTTTTGTTGAAGAGTTGTGTTTATGTTCTTGCTGTGGTACAACACTGGATCCTTGCATCCGAAATGTAAATCATACTGAACCCTAGCAGCAAGTTTCTAAACAAATTTGGGTTTTGAAAGCTCAGCGTGGAGATCATGACCACCAGAAAATATCATGAAACAAATCAGATGGGTCACGAAATGATTAGAAAGTCCAAAAATATGTTTTCTTGTTTTTTGCTGGTGTTTTTTTAGGCTTATTTTTTCTTTGCTTTTTCTTATTTTCTACATAATTTCACCTTTAAAAACTTGACTCAACTGAACCAGACGTATAAATCATAAAGAAATAACAAGAGCACGATAAAACCTGGACTCAACATGTACGACATTTTTCCAGGCGCCCACAGGTGTTCTCCTCTACTGGGAGAAAAGATGACTCCACATACTCCAGATATTTTACGACTTACGTTTGTCATTCGTTTCCATGCTTGTCTCCTATCTGCTCTGAGTAAACACAGCCTGCAGTTCAGCTGATAAGTCTCTGAATTTTTCCTCCGTTGATTGCAGCCGAGTCACTGATAACTTCACAATAGTGCCTCGGAGCATCGACTGTTTTGATTTTTATAGAACTCCGTCACTGCAGATGGTTTATTTTGGGTGATGAGCAGGTCGAGGACTGTTGAAAAGTTAAAAATCCGATGATTGTTTCGGATTTTTACCATTTCTGGCTTTGATAAATGGTGTAATTTTGGCAATTTGTGAAAAAATATAATACTTTTCAAGCCAACTGGTGGGTTTTAGGGTTCAGAAGGTTAATCTTTCAGGCAAAAACAGCCTTTAGTGTTTGATTAATTATTAAGATTACCTTCCAGTTTTCACATTTGAGATCATGTAAAAGTCTCCTTCTGCCTACAGAGTGCTTGGCCCACTCGTTCAGAAACAGTGGTACCCTCCTTTAAGGCCATTAATGAAACACCGTAAATTTCAACCCAGTTCGTCTCCTTTCCTAACACGAGGCCATGCTGCTTAGCTGCCTTACCCCTTTGACACCCTTCAGGTCTCCTTTCAGCAGGCTGTCCAGGGGAAAGGTGATGATGTTGTTCATGTTTTGGAACTGGAGGAGGGCGAAGAGAGACACAAACAAGAGTTGAAAGGTTACATCAGAGGATTTGAAGCTGCAGGAGACTGAAAGTCGCCACTGACATGTAATCCTCTCAGTGTCCTGTGTGCTGAGGAGGAAACTTTAGTAAATTATGGAGATAAACACAACAAAACGACGTCAGGAAACATCCATTACTAACAAAGATAAAAGAGAGTTCATTAAACACAACTTAGCTCCAACACTTCCACCGTGCTCGGCACCATTTGCATCTTCTAATTGCTAATAAATCTAATTTCCACTTTGTAAAACGGAGAAAAACTCTGTCCCCTGGTTGCAGAGCTGCTGCAAAGACCAGCCTCGGTGTGTAATGCTGCAAATGTAATCTAGGAAACCAGAGCTTTACAAAAGCTTTGGGAGATTACATCTTCATATTCAGGTCAGCCAGGAGCTCGTGTTTCTTTAATATAAGGTGTTGAGATAACGCTAATACAAAACCTCCCGTTCTCACTGTGAGTCGTTTTGTTTCATAAAGCAGGATCAGGCTGAATTAGATCCAGCAGATATTTGGTGTTGCGCCGGCTCTTTGACCTTCTCCGTGGAAAGCCGGAGCCACCTCCTCGGGGCTCTGAGCTCCAGCTGGACTCGCTCGGCGCGTTAGAGAACACACACGGTGACTCAGGGGGATACAGACAATTAAGGACGGCATGGAAATCTTTCTTTGTCCCCTCGAGGGTTTTCAGACTCACGAGGTTTTTGAAAAGCGCAGTGAGCTCCTTGGTGAAGACGGAGAACTTGAGGAAGGCGGAACCCAGATCTGGATCGTCTCTGTACACGCAGTTCTCTCCAAACTTCTCCAGGGCCTGAGTGTACTGCTCCTCGTTCTCTACATGGGCTGGAAAAAAAACAAAACAACACACGGAGGTGAGCTTTGACACATGCGGCGAATAAAACCAAAGTCTCTCACTCTCTGATCATGACAAGTCAAAAATCAATCAGCGGTGATTAATAATGGATGGCAGCCTTTTAGTGTACAATGATCCACTTTCCCTCCATTATAGTTTCCCCCAGAACCTGGTTAGAGGAGGATGAAAGCGCCGCTCGCCGCTGACGGGGCTGTTTTTGTTTGCTGGTTTCGTACCTCGTCAAATCTCAGAGGGTTTCCTTTTTTCCTCTGCCAAGACGAGAGCTGTTCGTCTGTCCATCTGTCGGAGAGATTATGCGAAAACTACCGAGCCGAATTTCATGTAACTCGGCGGAGAGGTGGAGAAGGAAGAGCTTATTAAACTATGGTGTGGATCTGGACCGCTTTGATTAAAACATCCGAGTTAAATCATTTCAACAATGTGGCAACTTAAACAAAAAAGCCTCACTCACTAAACGCTGCTCAGACGTAAAGCCTCACAGCGGGTGTGTAATGCACTTCATGCCAGACTAGGCAGCTGATAACAACTAATGCCATCGGGACAGCGGCGGAGGAGCAAGGGATGGAGCGCCGGTGGGGGGCTGTTGCCATGACGACGCTTACAGAAAAGAAGAAGGGATGGAGGTGGAGGAGAACTCAAAGAAGAAAGGGGTGTGTTAAAGATGAACTCTGAAAGACACCTGCAAGCCACATCATGACTCAGCTTCAAAGACGCCAAACAGACACAAAGGCAGAGCGGGTTCACAGATGTGGCAGCAGCTTTATGGATCCGGCTAAATAAGTGCACGTCTCGGGCCGCCCAGATATCCATGGTGTTATTAAAAGGGAAACGCTGAAAGCCTCTGAGTCACTACCTGCCGGCGTCCTCACATGAGACAGATCTAATTTGAGACACAGGCTATCATCCGATGCAGCGGGCGAGCTGGACGATAAGAACGCCGCGAGACTCGCTGCACAAGTGGCCGAACGGGAGGGTTTGTAGCGTAAAGTGAGCACGCTTTGCTTTTTTTTCCTCCACGATAATAAAAACCTCCACCTTTTATGGATAATTTCATCAGTTATTTAATAGATTTTAACCTATAAAATGTAGAAAAAAAGCCTGATATCAAATCCCCAGAACCAGAAAATAGTCTTAGCCCAATCATCCATCCATTATTTATACACCGCTTAATCCTCACTTGGGGGGCTGGAGTCTATCCCAGCTGACTGAGGGTGAAGGCAGGTTCACCTGGACAGGTAACCAGTCTATCACAGGGCTACACTTAGAGACAGACAACCAAGCACACTCACATTCACACCTACGGACAATTTACAATCACCAATTAACCTCAGCATGTTTCTGGACTGTGGGAGGAAGCCGGAGAACCCGGAGAGAACCCACGCTGCACGGAGAGAACATGGAGACTCCACGCAGAAAGATCCCGGGTGTCCTCACCGGGACGCCAACCGGCGACCTTCTAGCTGCGAGGCAACAGTGCTAACCACCGCTCCACCTTGCAGCCTTTTAACCCATCCAACAGTCTAAAATCCTCTGAATAATTCTGAATTTTCCTGAACAATTTACTTCATCGATTCCTCAATTCTTCCACATTTTTCAAGCATAACTCCCATCAAACAGAAGACTTGCAGTGAGACGCAACTTTACTCGCTGTCATGCGTCAGACGCCGTCCACTGTTTACACATCAGCTCCAGCTGTTTGGCTGCGGCTCTGCCAGGCTGCCAGCCAACAGGGCGGCGGCCTGTTGTTGTTTTTGAAGTGGCACACGAGAGCTCTGAGCTCTGCTATTCAGAGCTGACAAATAGCAGAACCCCCCTCCCCTCCGCGGGCTGCGTAGTGACTACATGTGTATTTGTTGTAACTTGACCTAAACACATCACACATGCGGCTTTACAGCGCGGGGCGGCTTTGAAGCTGGCGGCGCTGAATGACACGCTGAGACGGTTTACGTGGCAGGAAAAGGAACCAAAGCAAAACACAGAGGCGACGTTTCATGTAGTTTACACTGTACACGTTAACAGCTGATTCCGTGTTGCATAAACATCCAACACGCTAAGCTGGTGTTAAAGACATGTGGCCGTTGGAGGAATGAAAACGTCAGAATTTGTACCAACACCTTCTTTTTATTTTAGCATCAGGCTTCACTTGATAGTAGAAGGTTGAAAAGATTAATTGATTCTTATATTACATTCTTTAATAAAAACTAGTTATCATTACTTACTGATCTGATGCATATGTTTGACCTTTTTGACTTTCCAGGGACGTCTGACTTTAAAGAGTTTCACTGAGCAAGAAGTATTCAGACACAGTACTGAAGTAATGGTACCAACACATAAAAATACTCCTTTACCAGTAAAAGTACTGCAAGACAAACACACTTAGTGAAAGTATGTAAGTATTAGCAAGAAGCATGGTTTCAGGTTTAGAGAAAAAAGTAAGCAGACCGGATCAGAAACCATAAAACTGTTCAACAAACACTTTAACAACTCAACAACAACCTGCTGATACTCTCGTCCAACATCCTTCATCGTATCTTCTCTCAGACAAAAACCATCTACAGCTTCCACAGGCCTGTAGCATGAAGCAGGATAAGAGGTTATCCAGTTAACTTCAGGTTTAACTCTGGTTCATCCAGAGTTGACGTCTTCCTGTGGTACATCACCACAGGAGCTAATGTTGAACACCTGAGCTGCCCTGGAGCGGGTAATGTTCCAGATAACGGATCAATGCCTATTAAAACGTCACCCACTGACCGATCAATTCTCCTGGAAAATAGCACCATCATTCCTGGAAGATCCCACAGAGCTCCGTGTGCAGACGGTGAGTGTTTTTAGATCTGCAAGTGATTTCGAAGCCAGTTTTATTGATCTATATGCCTTTGCAGAGCGATCTAATCCTAAAACAGAACCTGATTCAATCACCAAAGCCTTATACGTTGGTTGTTAACTTCACCAGATTGGAATGAACTTGCTTCCAAAACATTTTAACACCAAGTCTGCAGCTGAGATAATGAGATAAAACTGCTTTACATGCCATGAGAATGTGAGATTCCTAAATCCATCCTCCACTTCACCATGACAACAGCTTCATTTTTATCACTTGATTGCATTCACAGCTCCTGCACTTCTTTGCAGCCGCGTTGCTTTTAGCTTGTATTCGTTTTTTTAACTCCTCATATTGTTTCAGGATTACTTTCAGGTTTAGCTAGACTCAGAAACCCTGGATGACTCACCGCGGTTCACGTGACCGCTTATCCTGACTGCAGCTGTTGGGTTAAGTGAAGCCAGATAACGAACAGGTATCCTGGCTATGTTGAACTTGCTTCACAGTTCAGGCCCCAGGCTCCTGCTTGAGGATTATCTAACATCCCGAAGGCTTGTTTTGCAGCTTCTTCCATCTTTATCTCTCTCCGTCCCTCCAGCACACACAGGGTTTAATCAGCAGATAGCAGGCCGGCCTCTGCTTCCTCCCTCCGTCTCTCCCACATTCATTCTGTCTCGCTCTGCTCCGTCAGGCCCGGCCGGCCGATGCTCCGACGCTCGCCAACACAATGCGCCGGCGACCTCGGATCAGGTTCATATCTTTCTCTGCGGACGCTGTGAAAACAACGCTGGACTCCACGTCCATTTAACGAAAATGATCCTGAGCACTGAGTGGAAGTTTTATCCCCAGAGGAGGGACAAAGAATTACGGGCCGTGAGAGAAAATCAAAGAAAACATTTAAGAAACATTTTAGGGGATTATTCACTTTTTCTGCCATAAGAAAAACACACAAGATTGTCAATAGCGTCATATCTGAGAAGACGAAGCTGGAGCCAGGAAGTTAGCTTAGCATGAAGAATGGAAACCGCTAGCCAAAAAAAAAAAAAAAGTTTTTCCCAATCATTAAAACCAACAAGATACAGTGTGTTAATTAATGAGCTTTAAAAGCTGCTGGTAAGTGGATTGTTTTACCTCATGCTAGCTGTTCGCCCTCGTTTCCAGTTCTTATGCTAAGCTAAGCTAACAGCTAAAGGGTGAAGCTTGATATTTACCATAGAGACAAGAGTGTGACATCAATCTTCTCATCTAATTCTTAGAACGAAAGCAAAAAAAGTGTATCCTCCTACATATCAGACTGTCCTTTATTTTCAATACATTTTCTGTTCTGAATCTTCTTCCTCTTTATATTCCAGAGTAATCTTTTTCCTCATATGAATATAGAAAACTTTATGGGATAATCTTCTACAGCTGAGACAGAAATGCACTCGGCGTACGGCAGTGAAGCGAAGGACAAAGTCAGCCGAAACACGATCAAATTCAGTATTTTTCTGATGCAGCGCGAGTTGCCGAGCTCTGCATTATTTAGCAGCTAAACGTCCTGCCCACCTATAGGTGCCCCGGCTGGAACACGGCGTTCATCATCTGCCTCCGGTCGTTATCTGCTCAGCAGCTTTCGCGGGCCCTGTCCTCGCCGCTCTGCTCCACCGGCTCCAGCTTTTCTCTGAGGTTTGAGATGCCGCTGCTGCTGGTTTATTCATCAAAACCCACAAGCTGACACCCTGACAGGTCCCTGCAGCAACCACAACTCTCCTGCTCATTTATAAGCTTCCCCTGTAACTCCTCTTTCTCACCTATTTCAATTCAATCTTTTTTTCCCCCCCTCTTTGTCTCCGGCACAAGCTTATACCGCTTACTCACTTTTCCCCAGCGTAGCCGCTCTCGTACTATTGTTTATTTTCCTCTTGCTATTGCAACCAAACCTCCAACATTCCTTCTCCAGCTTCTCTTCCTCATCATTACTATTCCTCGTGTCATAGCCAGAAATATCCTTGCAGGGTTTTGGACTCTGCCAGTGAGAAGGCGTCCTGTTGTGCGTCTCATTATTCACACTTTCCCCCCCAGTAGCCTCTCTGGAGAAGAGAACTCAGTGCTTTCATTCTCTTCCTCTAAACACACAGATGATGGAGATTATTTTCAGATATCGCAGCACATAGAGCTTCTGTGTGTTTATATCCAATTTAGCCGTGCATAGATGTTAGTTCAGTTGTTTTGCTTTCATTAAGCTGTGACATATTATGTCTTATAGGTTTAGGATCGATCTTAGTGATGCTGGAGACGTATTTACCTTGTGTGGTTTTAGCTCCTCAGTTATAAATCCTGCACAAATACTTCACATTTTTACAAATAGTTTATCCACTGATTGAGCTGAAAAGCCCAAACTGCACTACCTACATTCAACCTAAACAGCTGACATTTTATGCAAAGTGTTTTTCGGCACAACAGTTTGTAAAAACAACATCACACATCTGGTAAACCTACATCCTGTCACCTGACACATCTAAGTTCAGTACTCACTCCTTGTTGCTCTGTTTTGGTCTCCACCATCTCCTACGATACATATCTGGCTGCAGTTAATCTAATGCATCCGCCAGTTACTCTGCACCATTTGCAGAGTTTTTCTGCTTAAATGTGCTGCCTGCTACAACCTCAAACCACCGTGCAGTGAAAATAAACTAAAACACTAAAGCTGCGAGTCATAAAACCAAAGCAGTGAGCTGCAGGGTCGGGTAGTAGTTCTGTGTGAACCCTGTCACATTACACACACTGTTAGTATCACAACACTGACCAATAACTAGTCTGTGTAGTAAATGAGCTGAGGGAGCACCAGCTATATTTGGAACCTACATCATCTTTGCAAATCAAAGTACAAACCTCATGTTCAAGAGACATGAGAGGCCTCAAAACGAGGCCTCCTGCTTGTATTCAAAACAGATCCACGTCTGGGCAGCTCTTCTGTGACGACTACCGATAACAAAAGGTGACCTCAGTTAATGCGACCTTCCCTTTGGTAGGAGCGTAAACAACGGCATTCCCACTGGCGCTTCTACAGACGGAGCTCCAAGTATGAAGCTTCCCCTGATCTGGATCAGTGTTTACAGTAGAAGCACCGCCTCGAGGCACACAGGCTGATTTGCATGCTCCCGGTCTCTCATAATAAAAACTATTTCACCTGCGGTTCTCAGACGTGCACAGATTTAAGGTGTTTACCACCAACAGGGGCAGCTCGAGCTTCTACACCTGCAGATAAACGCCTGCAGACGGACAACATGTTGTAGCAGCGTAGCGGAGAGGCAACATGAGCGCGTCCACGCCTCAGCACCCGCACACAAACACAGCCCCTCCCCAGCTGTTCGTTTTGGGGACCGGATCAGACAGCTGGCCCTCCGGTCCGAACAGAGCGAGCAGTGTTGGGAAAAAGACATGCTCAGCACATTGTTCAGAGGTCTCTCTCTCTCTCTCTCTCTCTCTCTCTCGCTCAGCGGGGTTCTGTCAGGCAGGCCAAACAAAAGACACTGAAAACACCCAACACTGGCACAGACAGCCACAATGAGCCTGGTAATCACACACACACACACACACACACACTACACACACAGTGGCTAAAAAAAACTGCCCCTTCCTGCCTCGGCCTCAAAGGCAGCTGAACAAAGGCATTAGGGATGACATTTAGGAGTATTTTTATTCATGCAGTTTTTAGATTGAACTGATTAAACCGAGTGTAAACAAAATGCAAAAAGGGACAAAAATGCTTCTTAATGTGTTTGTGGACTAACAAATTTTCTTTTTTAACATCAAAAACAAAAAGACAACCAAATCTGACATCATTACTTTCTATCAAGACTTAATTGCTGCTGCTTAACATTTACCTTAAAAGACTAAAAGCCTGCAAGCATTTCATTTGTTGGACTCTACAGACGACAGAAGAGGTGAGAATGTACAGTTCTGTTGCGTATACATTCGTGTTACAGAGACAGGAACCTCTTTGAGTCCCCCAAAAAGGCCTAAAGTGAAATAAGATTGATGAGACGAGGAAATGAAAAAGCCGAGTCAGACAGGAGGACTCACCCAGACCAGACGTGTAGATGGCCTTCACAGACTTCTTCATCTTGTACAGAACGCTGCGATCCACATCCAGAGCCTGAACAGACACAGAACAGAGGAAGACATGAAGCAGTCAGCGCTGGAGTTAGTGGAGATTGATGACTTTAATGTGGAAGTATTTTCCAGTCATTATACTGGGTTCTGTGTTATTTGTCAGTCACCCTCCTTAAGCTGAGCGTCTCACAAACAAAGTGTGACCACGTACAACAACAACAACACCTGAGTGATTACCGTAATGTCCGGACTATGAGCCGCTACTTTTTTCACACGGCTAAACAAAGATGCGACCAATTTCTGGACTTTTTTGTGAGTGTCATTGAGAGCGACAACGACAGAGAGACTGAGGAAGTGTGTGATGAAGTAATTCTGAGGCTGAAGAAGACAAGTTTAGTGGTTTTCAGGAGGAAGATGAAGATAGCGATCAATGACTCTTCCTGGTAGGCTGCTGTAGTTTTTTATTGTCTTACACCTGCAGCTTATAGACAAGTGCGGCCTGTATATGTACAAAACTAGTTTTCTTTTTAAGGTCAGTGGGTGCGGCTTATATTCAGGTGCCTCAATAGTCCGGTAATTACGGCAGTGCACTCTGGATGGCCACTTTGTTGCTAGGTAACAATGTGAGAAGATGACACTCCCATTCTTAATCCCACCTATTAAACGCTAACCGGTCGTGTGCCTGGGAAACGGTGATACTGGATCTGTTTAAATCTCTCTCAAGAGATGCGAGCAGCAATTTAGCAGACTGGCTCTTGGATATAACAGCCCTGCAGTGAGGCAACAGACAGCCGCTCTGTTCTGTTACACTCTGCAGTCATTTCTGCTGCAGGAGTTTGAGTTAACGCTGAGCTGAATTGAACTATAGTTTTTGGTGTTTCTGCCCAAATGTGTGTCTGTATGTGGAGGGTACAGTGTGTGTGTGTGTGTGTGTGCACTCTGGCTACAAGCAATGCATTATTCAAGGCAAAGCCAAGAATAGACCTGAGTCACCTCATTAGTTATTGTGTGAGTGTATTTATCAGTGTAACAGCTTGTAGGACAAGAGCAGTGAGTATCTGAGGTCTTGAAGGACAGTTTCCCTGCGACGTGCACACAAAAACCTGTGAATACCCGCAGTCACACACACACACACACACACACTTCCCCTCCAGTGCACTGAGCCCAGACTCACAATAAAGCAGAACAAACAGCGAAAGTGCAGCCCAGACAATGCACCACTGTACCAGTGATGAGTGAAGGAGTCTTTTGGGATGAGGGGGATTTTAGGAAATGAGTTTTTTGGGGACTTTATTAAGCACGTCCGCTCGACCGGGGCCAAAGCCGGCGCCACTTTCCCCCTGCCCTGCTCCCCATCTGACCGACACATATCAGATCCCCACAACTCTCTGAAAACACACAAAAAACACACACACACAATGGCACCCATTCAGCGCAACACACACACTAAAACTGTGTACCATAGACACGCTGTCCTCGTTGCAGCAGCACTTAGATGTGACGACGAAACTTATTAAATCCATAAACTGGTGTCGTTTTAATATCCAGAGCTATGGGCGGTTTTGATGTTTCCCAATAGAAGAATGTCTCAGCACCTCCCCGGGGTCGTATTTCACCCACAGACACACAAAAGGAACAGAGAGATCGAAAACACACCAGAGACTTTGAAGGGAAAGTAACAGATAAATTAAGCTAGCTGAGGGAATATGAGGCGAACACGGAGCCCAGAGAAAAGACAAGAACGTTGACAATGTGCTCTTTCACTGCTCTGTCAATAGGGGGTACCTCTGAAGTATGAGGGGGGCAGAAGACCCGGTCGGTCTGTTGGGGTATACAGTTACACTGGATGGGCTCAGCGGAGAGGAAAGATAATGCAGGCCTGATGAAAGAATGACCAGATGACAACCCCAGACCACATCTATCTGTTTATATTTTAATTGCATTTCAATGAGTGTCTGTCACACAGAATGTATTTGATGAATCTCTTTGATGCACCATCCATCTACTCCATGAAATGCCTCAGAAAGAACAATAAAATAAACTATATATATCTGCAATTAATCCTCTCTATATGAGTTCAGTGATGAATCTCTGTAGTCACTGTCTGTCTGGTTAAATCAGAACTGAATGCAGCAGTTTGAATGAAGTTTGACCAGCAGTAAGTACCGTAATTTCTGGACTATTGAGCCCCAGAATTACTTCGTCACACACTTCCTCTCTTTCGTTGTCGCTTTCAGTGTCACTTTGGTCTCGAGGCAAATTTGTAAAAATCTATAAATTAGCCGCATCGTTTTTTAATCAGCAGTGTTTAAAGCTTGTGAAAAAAGTAGCAGCTTATAGTCCGGACATTACGGTACCTGTGGCACGCTGCTATTTTTATTATAAGGATTATTGCAATTACACTGAAATCTGTTGTTTATTGAAAAATAAGAGAAAAGTCAGCTACGAAAGTAACTCAAAATCACTCAGTCTCCACCTCTAACGGACCTCTGGGTGACAGCCAGGCGCAGGCAGCAGGACGTCATCATCATCACCCTCAACCTTAATCATACCCAACCATTATCCACATGAAGACACAGAATTAACACATAAAAAATAAATGATAATTTAAGCGAATATATAAATAAATGGATATTTGTGGTGCAAGGTAGATTTCAAATTTTTTCAGCATGTGTGGTAACTAGAGCTGTAATGTCCAAGTCAACCAGTCGACTGATTCCATGAGGAGAAAAGCACCACGTTGGCATCCTACCAGGAATAATGCATTGCTTTTGGTGGCCTGTGTTCAGAAATTTAACTCGTCCATCCTCACAGGAAGGGATCGGCCTAATTAATTTAACATTAACTGAACTTTTGCACCAAGTTGACTCCAAACTAGTTGGTAGAGTGTTGAAGAAATCAGTGGAGTGGTTGCTTTTGGTTCAACCCGATTGCTGAAAAGTTGAGTTTAAATATAGCCAGCAGCATTTCATCCAAAAACAGGAGGCAAACGTGTCTGCGTTGGATCATCAGTATGTAAAACTCTATTTTCAAAAAACGTATGAGCAGGTACATTTGAGTTTGCTGTAATGTAGGAATAACATAACTAGCTTTTTATGTTTCTTTATCATTAGAATTATAAGTAGGTTTTCACATACAGGGATGATTTTTTTTTAAAATGCTGCAAGTCAAAAGTCAGCAAGTAATAGAAATATTCACAGTATGCAGAAATGTGCACATTTTTCAACTCAGAATGTGCAAAATGACCAAGTATATGGTGTAAACAAGCTGAGATATGCAAAAAATAATCATAATAATCTTGTTTAAAAAGCTGTGTTTTAATGCAACATATTGAGTCAACATCTATGGAGGAACGGGGAGTTGAAGTTTAATCAAACTAGACATAATGTGCAGGTTTGTTTCCTAACAAATTGGTTGAACAGCTACGATTTCATTCATTCATTGGGATCTTCTTCGGCTCCAGCGCCGGTGTTTACACGAGCAAACTTCCAGACAGCAGCGTCTGGTAAAAGTAACACATGCTAAAAATAAAAGCTGCTGTCTTCAAACCAGGGAACCGAGCAAATTAAAAGAAGCCTCTGAGTAAAAGTGGGACTTACAGTGCTGCGGTTTTAGTTCCTTGAGCTCCTGTTAAATGACTCATCTGCTACATATGCTATTATCTCATTAGCTCTGTCTGGCTCAGACGCTGCAGCTGTAGCTCAGACCCCACACAGCCACACCAGTCTGCATTCTGTTCATCGGTTCCTCTTCAAAACAAACAGAGAGAGAAAAAAGAAATATCATCTCTGTCGATTTCTTAGCAGAGCTGCTATCACCTCAGGCCTCTGCTCTGCATCTATTCCAACTGCTAAGAATGAAAACCACAAGAGTGTTTCTGCTGCTATCGGAGCTAATGTGAGAATCTGCATTGATTTAATGCCCAACATGAAACCTGGAGTCCATGATTTTAGGGCCAAAACGCATTGATGGAAGAAACATAACCCAGCAGAGCAAAGGACGGATGCTTCAGGCTTTATGCTGCACATTAGAACAGTTTGACTATATGCAGAAATAAATCTCTGGACTTCATAAAAACTGACTAATCTTTCACAGAATTCAGGAGAAATTGTAAAACGAGCCCTCAAACTGTACTTGAATCGTCCACGTATTGATCGTCTTTGAGGATGTGAGGCGCTGAAGTCAGAGCGCCGTGTTTAACAGCTGAGCGGAGCCCAGAATCCATTACGGGTGTATGTTTAATTCATACATTCTCTAAGAGACCTGCAGGATTCTGTCCAGACTTGTTTACCACAATACATAAAAACAAAAGTGCCTTTCTGGTGACGTGTTCAAACGCTGCTCAGGTGAACGACTGCTCCGATTACTGAAGTGTTTAATTAATAACTTCATGACAAAAGAGGAGGCAAACAAACAGAAAATAAAACCCGGCAGCGCTCGGACCGACTCAGCCGGGCTCTCTGGCAGCAGCGCGGCTGTTTTTGTGGAGGAAGACGAGCCAAATGGACAAGAGATTTATAGCAATCTGTTCGTTCTGTGACTAAAGCTTTGGGTGCATATGCTGCATCAGCACAGTCAGATGGCAGCTCCGTGTTCTGCTCTGGGATCATGTAACGGCTTCGGTATTAGAGGCTCTTTGTCAGCTAATTCGCAAAGTACACTGCAACTGGGCGAAATTTACACTTGGATGACCTTCCTTTCAGCTTGACCTCGTGATATCACGGTCAGAAGCAGCATCGCGACGCAAAACGCATCAGCGTTGTTTTGTGTAACAGGTTTGGACCATGTGGCAGGTCTGTCTCACAAAAGAGCTCGTAGTAATGTTAGCTGAGTCTACAAAAAGATAAAATACACATTTCTGCAGCTCTGAGAGTAAAGACCTGCCTTCTAATTCCACTCTACATACTAAATATTAAACTGTGCTGCGGAAATTGATTGATTTTCAACTATTAAATTAATTGGTGACTATCAATTAGCTGTTTGGAGTAACTTTCTAAAAGAAAAAAAACGTCTTATTCAAACTTTCTTTCACTCTTCTATGGC